GGGTAGTAATCAAGGGTAGTAATCAAGGGTAGTAATCGACGGTAGTCATTGACGGTAGTAATCGACGGTAGTAATCAAGGGTAGTAATCAAGGGTGGTAATGAAAAGGGTAGGCATCAAGGGTAGTAATGAGATACCAGCCCTTGATTACTACTGTCCAAGCCTGGCATCAAATCAAGTGGAGGGTAGGACCAATCATGATCCCCACTGTCATGAAGAACGTGAACAGATGCAGAGAACTGGTTCAATCACTGGGCGGCAGCAAACTTATTCCGCCAAAGCCAACACACCCCGTCATAGAGCCACCAGTGTGTTGGCTTTGGCGGAATAAGTTTGCTTCTGCCCAGTGATTGAACCCTCATCTGCTCTTTGAGCTGTATGCAAAAGTTAAGAACATCAGAAGCTCGATAAAGAAAGGGCTTTTGCGATTGATCTCAAACCCGAGCTCCCAAGTTTGACACTCGTCTCTCACATCCAGTTCTCTGCAATTTTGCAGAGCCTAAAAGTGACCTGCACAGAGCTGGCAGACATGAATTGAGAAATTCTCCAAAAAGCATATTCCCGCATGTGCATGTGCATGTGTGCCACAGTGCCGGAGAGAGAGTCAAAAGTGTGACATCCTTTCAAATTGGACGATAAAGACAACCCCACTAATAGATGGATCAACCGGGGCCACCTACTCATGGGGGCTGCTCATATCACCCTCCCTAATAGAGGCCACTGTTCAGGGAGAGAGAGAGAAAAAAAAAAAAAAAAAAAACGACGGACGCGGCATGTTTTGAAACCCTAAAGGCAAAAAAAACTTGCGCCGGCAGAGAAACCACACGCCAACTCGAAATGAGCGATTGCGGTCCAAAAGTATCTGTTGGGCTTTTTTTGTTTGTTTGTTTTCCCCTCTGAAAACCACGGCCGACCCCTGTAAATATGACACCCGGTCGAACACCATGGCAGTCGGTACTTCCGTTGCCTTTTCGAACTCGGCGCGGTTTTCTTTGCCGTCGCATGATTTTTTTGCCCATTCGATACTCAAAAGGTGACATGAATGTACTTACCCCCAAAAAAAACAACCCTGACAGATTCAAACAGATTGCAGTTTTGAAACATATGGGACTTAGGTGTTAGCGGTGTCTGCTCTTATCAGCACCACTAGCACTGGTGGGGGCGTGTTTTTCAGGGGATAGGAAGTTGAAGAAGATAGAGGTTGGGCGATAGGGAGGTGAGTTTCACAGAAAAAAGGGGGGACAAAATTTTGGAAAAGGTGTGAAAATTGGAAAAATTGGAGTAACTTGAAAATGGAGACGGGATACTGTATGAGAGGATGGTAGACGGGCAAGGGACGAAGGATGGTAGTAGGTGGCAAGTACGATACAAGCGAAGGAAATATAAGTAGGCAACCTGAGTGGGATGGTATCAAGAAATATGGGAGAACAGGTAAAACTGGTAGGGAGAATAGAACTTCATAGAGGGAGCATGGTTATAGTTAGAGACCGGTGTTATAGGCTCAAGTCTGTTTGGCTTTTTCCGAGAGGATTTGGTTTAGAGGAGGAGACAAGCGGCCAGCGAGGCTGCTAGGCTCTCGCCCCCGGCGCCTCGCCACCCCTGGGACCCTTCTGCTGTGTGTCTGGGTGCTGCTACTAAGCTTCCCGGCCAGCAGAAGCATCCCAGGGGAGGCTTATGGTTTGGGAGGTGGGATGGCCTGTAGCAGTACCCCCCCTGATAGGCGACTAGTACCGCAAGGGCTTGTCTGATTTCTATCCCTGCTACTATCTCATCTTGAACGGATGCTTGCCGGTGATAAGCAACCGGACTGATGCCCCCCAGAATAGATGGGGCCTTGCGTAGTTCGGAAAAAAAAAAAAAAAAAAAAAAAAAAAAAAAGAAGAAGAAGAAAAGAAAAGAAAAGAAAAGGAAGAAAGAAGAAGAAGAAGAAGAAGAAGAATAGCATGGCCCCTGCAGAGGAATGACATGCGCGAATTATAGAGGAATGGTCGGCTGTGTGTACGTGTTTAGGTTTATAAATCTTCCGCAATGGCGTCACAACATGATGCATTGAAAAGTGCACTTTTACGATGACCGAAACAGACCCTTCTCCCCATCGCAAAACAAACTGAGCAGGGGACGAATGCAGAGACCTAGCCTTATAGTGAGTGCATAAGGACCACAAACATGCAAGCCCGCGTGAGCAAGAACAAAGGAAAGAAAAGGACTACTGTGAGGGTTTACGCCTCGGCATAAGGCCCTGCAGCAGGCACGTGCCCGCCCTAAGTGAAGGCGAGTCCCCTTGAATCTCCATGTGCCCTGAGCTCGTCAATTTTGCAAATCTTGGTGGGCGTCAGACAGTTGCCATGCACCAGTTGGTTACATCCTCTTTGCTCGTGAGAATCAGAAATATGCGTGAGCCTTCCATGCTCTTCCAGCAACAGGTCGATACAGGGAGGACCGCACGTTTGTGCCTGGGTGGTTGGACAAGCCTAACCAATTCGATCCCAGGCCACTGTCTGAACAGGCCTGGGCGCAGACACTTTGGCAGAGACTGAAGCTACTGGAAACTCGGTCTCATGGGGCAAGCGGGTGGCAATTCACATGCCACTTTGCATATAGGAAAGGGAAGGGCTCCGAATCGGATGAGGTGTGATGATGTGAGGGCATGTACCTGGTCTTGGCGATGGTCTACAGGGTCGACATCTTCATGCACTTCGGTTGTTGCTGCTGACGTCAACGGTATGCATTGTCAAGTCATAGGCTGCTAGTAGCTGTGTAGTAGTAGTCTGGGCGCTGAGGGCCAAGTAGGAGGAAGGACTCTGGAGTCTGGATACATATGATGGTGGTGGCGAGAGTATGCTCTCATTGACATTTGGATTCAGTGCTCTAGAGGGTCTAAAGGAGGTGGTGGTGTTGATATCCTAGTACACCGTAATCTTCAAGCTGAGATAATTGACTTCTTTGCTGACCTTTGGGGTAGGTGGTCCTGGATTCAACTGTGGATCGGGGGTCAGGAATGGGTAGTAGCTAATATTTATGCCCCTTAGCTACCGATATGCTAGGGAGAGGAGGATCTTCTTTGAAAATCTACCCCTGTTCATCCCAGACGGTGAGAGCCTAGTCCTCACTGGCGATTGGAATACTTAAATAGGTAGGAACGAGGCGGTACGGGGTAACCTGGATGTAAAGGCTTTACTCGATTTGATGGCTGAGTTAGACTTGTCGGAACCCTACAGCCTACTCCACCCGGAAGACCCGAGGTATACTAGGTTCTCAAATATACGCGAAGGTGTAGGTACTATCCGCAGAAGGCTTGACTTCTTTCTTCTATTTCCTGCTGCAAGGCAAGCCACTGTTGACATTGAAGAACAT